TATATGTAGGAACTGCTGCAAGCAATATATATAGTATCGATGGAGGTCCTTCCAAGGGAAAGATAATACCGTGCTATAACCCCACTCGTGGCACGCACTAGGCAGAAAACCTCGCGGACAACATATACACACTATTATGAAATAACATTACGACGCACTGATGTTGAGTATTGAACTACTGAGTATTTTAGTGAATTTGATCATGAGCAAGGTATATTAAACAAGGAAAAGCATGCTACTTATCTGTCAACTGTTGCAAAAAGTTTTTAAGTTTGGTAGATAATTACATCTTGCATTTTTTACGATGACAGTAGGCTAAATGTGGGATAAATCATACACCTGCCATTTTTAAATTCTCTATTGGCACTTACACAATATAGACGGAATAATTAGCAGTGCCGAAAACGAAGAATGATCTACAGGAAAAAGGTTCAGTTAGTTTAGACTCAATTTACGTAACGTAACCTAATATATTGGCCAGGGCAATATATTTTTGTTAAAGATTTTTATTTTAAGTCGGAAGCACTGTATGTATTAAAACTTAAGGTGGTCAATTGGATAGAGGTGGGCTGACTGATTAATCGAAACCCAAACGAACTTTTGTAGGATCATGTACTCAATGGTGCGGGTTCTAGTCTGGCTTGTGGGTGCCAGTTCAGCTGACGGTTCCCTTCCGGGCATTAACCTGATCTTCCTTTAAGGCCATCACCATTTCGGTTAAAGATGTCGATTGTCTGGTAACAAAGTTTAATGTGCTTATCCTTTTGCTTTAGTCTGTTAACCATTTAGTTGGTCGGCGAAACCCTCCGGCTGAACCCTCCTCGAGGGTGTCGACTGGTAATAGGCACTACAGTTTAGGTTCTGTACGATGTCAGAATAGTGTCCAGCTAAGATCAGAAATCAGTGCTATGTGCTTAAGCTCCTCAATAGCTTAGTTATATGGAAATGGTTTTGATCGTGGCCTATGGAGGTAATGGAGGAGCAAACCTCTTGAAAAAAAACTCTGGGTTGGAACAAGCTGT